AATAACTGTAAATAACCTTCCATGTCTGAGCCTTCCTGTCTAGTATGTAACCTCGCCATGTTTACCTGCTACGTTGTCTCTCTGAGTTCTTGTTGCTTATTGTGCAGGCCTTTCAAGGACTAATATAAAGAGCAACTTCATGCCAATCCATCCCTCCTCGCTTCTCGCTGCTGCGATGCCTTGATCTGCCCGGCGCTACAATATGTTATATTGTTTTACCTTTTTGCTCTGGTTGTCTTTCACAGTTTTATACTGAGGACCATGGCACATCAGCATATGGCCCAAGCGAGATGCATGCATTCACATTCAGCAGTGGTCTGAAGCGGTGGACCTGGCCCACTCAAGGCGACCCATCAGAGCCAAATGCTAGGCTTCAAGAAGACCTCTTCATAGGAAGAACCCTGGGCTGGACAAGTGCCGTGTAAAGCTGCAAATATCGCCACCCTGCTTTTTTACTGTAGCTGGAAGAGAGACCTCTGCTGGCCGTGGGAGGAATGGCAGCGACCGCTTAATCACCCCCTCTGCCCCTGCGCACTTGCAGGACCCTAGGGCTCCCCCTGGGGGCTGCTGCCCATCATCTATGTGCCATTTTATTTGATGCAGCCTGTGGTTGTGTTTGCTGAAAATTCTTGCCAGCCACTCTTTTTGGATGATGAGATACAGAGAGATAACAGGCAAAATCATCATAAAGAAACACATGCAAAAGGATGTAATTCAGAGAAATATATGTAGAAAAATTGGCAGCATTTTAATAAGTTAGCAGTCAGGCAATCCGGGTGGCTTTCAGTCTGACGATAAATAAAATGATGGATGAGGTGAAGAGGGGGACACATGAGCGGGGAAAACATTCACATCTATTTCCCTGATTGGCTAAAATGTAATAAATTCAGATTGCAGCTCAGGATCGCCGACTGTCGTGGGGAGATGGCCGGGCAGAGGACTGACAGCCCCCTGATGGTGATGGACGAGGAGTCAGAGGATGAAGATATAAGGAATGGAGGACGACTGACTACCAGAGGCTCTCAGACACCTATCACAGCTTTTGCGGGCAGTGCAGCCGGCATGGACATATTGTGTGGGAGCCTGGTTCCCTCTGGTGGCCATAGGAGGGAATAGCGGCCGAGTGAGTGGAGTCAGTGGAGTGAGGGGACCAGCGACACCGGCTACCTCACTCCGAAGAAGACTGCGGCGATTTGGTGCCCCTGCTCTCCAGCTGGGCCCGGGCTCAGATGCCCTCACTGCCACCCCTTCCTCTCCCTCCTCCTCTTCCTCACACCATCTGCTGTATCTCTCTTTATCTTGCATGTGTTTATGCACTGCAATCACTCGTCTATTTCTCTATCCTCCACCGCTCCTCCATCTCTCCTTGTCTCCTCGCCTGCATCCGTTCTTCCATCCCCATCCTCTGTCAGCCGCTCTCTCGTCTCTCCTCCCTCGCCGGCACTCCTGCCCTCCCTCTCATTTCCCCTCAGTCACACATCCAGACGTCCCCTTCTCGCCACCTCTCTCCCATCCTCCTGCTTTCTCTCTCTCTCTCTCTCTCTCTCTCTCTCTCTCTCTGTTGCTCACTTCTCTTCTTGCTCAGCAACACATATCCAGGGCGGTTTTCGGCTCCTCTTAGCACGGCTGCATCCAGCTCCCAGGCTTCAGTGTCAGGCAACGGTCTCTGTCTCTGTCTCTGTGTCTGTCTCTCCGTCACACACACATGCACACGCACATGCGGGCAAACACGCAAACAGACACGCACACCATGCCAATGGGCATCCAAGGACAGTATACCTGCATTCGGCCCCCCTGCCCTGCCAGCCTGAACCATCGGTGAGAGGGAGGAGGAGGAGGAGGAGAGGAAGGAGGGAGTGCAGTCGGAGCGATGGAGCACAGCCATATCATCGCCTCGCTTCCCCCTAACGCCAGCGCCTGGGGCTCCGGACAGCCTCCCGCGGGGCCCCAAAGCTGTCCTCTGGGGCCCCTGCCTGTCATCTACTACAGCGTCCTGCTTTGCCTCGGCCTGCCAGGTGAGGAAGGAACAGGTGTGTGTCTGTGTCTGTGTCTGTGTCTGTGTGTATCTGCATACTTCAATCAATTTGTATTTATCTAAACCAAGTTCTTCAGCAAAACCGCTGTCACCGGAGCACGTGTTCCTGTCTGAATTAGCTTTTGCGTCTGTGGATGGAGACACTAACCTTTGTGCCTCCATCTTTGTGTGTACATGTGCTGGACACTATATGTGCCTCCTCCATTGTTCCCTGTTCCCTCTTCTTGACATCCGCCTCCCTTGTCCCCTGTTTTGACCTCTGAACTTTTGGTTGGAGCCGTCCCCGGCACTGTTGATCCAGCGGGGGGGTGCCCCGCTCGACTCGCAGATCTCAATGACAAATCACTCCTGCCGCTGGTGGTGTAATGACCGGGGGGGACCGGTGGGGGCAGGGATTAAAGATGGAGTTCGGAATGGCGATGGGGCACGTGACCTTTGGTCTCGGTTTGAGAAGCATGGGCTGATGAGCTCCACAGCCGAAAGCCAAACTGGCTTCTAGGAGAGATCAGGCAAAGCGGACGGGAGCGCATCTCATCCTGTGTGTCACTTGTGGGGTCACAGTCACTGATGACCAGAGGCAGAGATTGCCCCCCCCCCCCCCATCTCCCCAGCAGAGTCATTCTGTTGTCACAACACGACCTTGACACAGAAGTGGTTTCCGGCAGGAAGAATTAGAAAAGCAGCAGCGCTGCTCACGCACATTTTAACCACATCTGTGTGGCGACATCTTCATTTTCCCGCTGTCCCTTTGCCGCCGTGTTCTTGGACGTGACGGATTTGCGTGTGTGTCCCGCCCGCGGTCCCCCTTTTCCCCGCCACTCTGGGTCAGGCTTAGAAAGGAGAGAGAGATGGACCTTCTGAGGTCCTGGATTTCCAGTGGCGTTCCCCGAGATTATCCCAGAGAGCCTGGGAGCAGCTGCCAGTGCTGGTGTGTGAGACACGGAGAAGGTCACAGATACATACTAATTAATGCCATGAAGTTAAACTGGCCACTTAAGGGACTCGTGTAAATCACAAAGTTAGATGGGGAGCCAGTGGCACGACGGCTCTGCCTCTGTGGCTGGATGGCACTGAGCTCTGGGACTCGGTGTGGCTGAATGGCATCATGGGAAATCAGTGAATCAGAAGCAGAGCCGGCTGTTAAAAACACATCAACCGTAACAAGCCAGGACAAGAGAATCCAGAAGCCTTCTTTAGCGAGATGATCAAAGTGTTGATGCCTTACTTCAGTAACAATTTATGAAAGATTGATTGTCTTGTTTATAAAATCATTTATATATCTATGTGTGTGTGTGGCTGGGGTATATTCCACTGGTATAGGTGGAATCTGTCGGGGGGGAGCACTTCTAACGACAAGTGTTCATGTGTCCCTCTTGTCAGATGTTAATGGTGGTTTTGTCATTTTCTTAAAATCAGCCCCAGACCAGAGCATCAGCCCCCAGATTCTAGCACCCCCAAAAAGCCAGTAGTTTGACTTTACCCTACAGATCAAACTGTGCCCTGAAGAGGGACCCCAGCCAGTTTACAGCAGTGACATCAGACCCCCCCCCCCAAAGCCCCAGGCGTGGTTAACGGGGTGACGTTCCAGTCCAGCTGGACTTTCTGCATTATGTTTAGCTTCCCGATATCCAGCTTCTGATTGATGGATGGCTGGACATCAGTAGTGCTGCCCAAAGCCCCCACCCCATCTCTCTCTCTCTCTCTCTCTCTCTCTCTCTCTTTCTCTCCACCAGCATGCCTTCCGCCATGTCATTCCTCCACCCTTCCTTCCTCCTTTCTTCCTGCTGTTTCCCTCTATCCCCTGCCGTCTTCCCCCTCTCTCCACAAGTTCACAGCATTTCGCTGATAGCGTGATATCCAAAAAAACCAAAAAAACAATTGAAGTTCTAAGAGAAGGATTATTTAAAACTCAGAATTGGAGCTGTTGTACTTTGTTCTCTTGCTGCACATAAATTCGTAAGTACCTACTCCCATCGCCACACCCCCCCAGCATTCTAGTCGCAGTGATGGTCATTCAGTCAGCAGTACAGTCCCACTAGGTTTGTTAAAGATGGCCTTTGACAGTGTCTGAGAAATCTCAGTTCTCCCCCTCCCCCCTCCTGAAAGAGCGTAATTGGCTGCCGTTTCTTGCCTTCTGTCTTTCCGTGAAACTCGGGGGAGAATCATCTAGCTGCTGGGCGTGATCCCTGGCCTGGAGCTGGTCCACATCCACGTTAAACGCTTAGGTCCTAGGCATATGCACATGGTTGGAGTTTGGGCGGGCGGCAGGGGGCACTGCGCCCCTAGTCACCATTGTTTTCACTGTGCACCTTTGCGTGAGCAGTTTGTTGGTACCCAAAATAAACAAAATAATCTATCTGTGCGTCAGATATATGCATTAACACATATGTGTGTTGTTTTTTTTTCCCTCCCAAATGCGAACATCAAACTCCACTCACCCTTATATCTCTCTCTGTAGAGACTTTGCGTTTTTAGCCCCATGACAGCTGGTGTTGAATAGGCTCAGTTCTGTCATGTAATGGTTTTTTAGCTGGGGTCCTTTCCAGGAACACAAACTAACAACCTACAAGTTATGAGTCCGTGTGCTGGTTCATCCACATGCTTGTCTTACTGTTTTAGCCATAGCATTGTGTTTGGTTGCTTAACAAAGATAATTGAAGGCCGGTTCGTTGGTAACAGTGGGCATGACCTTCAATAAGTCCTAGAGCTCCATCCACGCCTAGCCGCAGTTCAGGGTGACTGGTTTGTACTGGCAGCACAGACAGCCGCAGTTCAGGGTGACTGGTTTGTACTGGCAGCACAGACACACTGCTGCTGTGAGTTTGGTCTCCTCGCCTTCAGCTGCACTGGGAGAGGGCATCAGCGTGTCGTCGTTCCTGCAGTGCGTCACCAGACCCCCAGTGTTCACCTCGCTGATGGCTAATGTGACACCTGGTTGTGGGGAATTTAAATATGGAGTGAAAATCTAGGTAAATATAGGTAAAAATGTAAAAGGATGCTGGTACAAACACAGACACACACACACACACATATATATACACACAGTGCTCAATATGAATGAGTTCACCCCCTTTCAGAAGTAAGATTTTAATGAAAATCTCAATGAACACAAGAACAATTTCCAAAATTTTCACAAGAAGAGTTTTATAGAACATTTGCTTAACTAATGAACATGAAAGTAAGGTTAATAATATAACTTAGATTACAAAATCTTCAGTTTTACTCAAATCAGGTGATGCAAAAATGAATACACCCCACAACAAAAACTACTACGTCTAGTATTTTGTGTGACCCCCAGCACCAAGTCTTCTAGGCATGGAATGAACAAGTTGGCTACATATTGCAACATCTATCTTTTTCCAGTCTTCAAGAATAACTTCTTTTAGAGGCTGGATGCTGGATGGAGAGTGACGCTCTTCAGAATTCCCCATAGACGTCCAATTGGGTGCAGATCAGGAGACATACTTGGCCACTGAATCACTTTCACACTGTTCTTCTTCAGAAATGCAACAGTGGCCTTAGCTGTGTGTTTTGGATCATTGTCATGTCAGAAAAGTGCACGATGACCAAGGGCATGGAGTGATGGTAGCATCTTCTCTTTCAATATAGCGCAGTACCTCTGCGAATTCATGACACCATCAATGAAATGCAGCTCCCAGACCCCAGCAGCACTCATGCAGCCCCGCATAAGGACCCTGCCGCCACCATGTTCACTGTAGGCACCTTCAATCTTCTTTGAACTCCTCACTATACAGTTTTGAAGCCATCAGTTCCAGAAACATTTACCTTGGTCTCGTCACTCCAGAGTGTAGAGTCTCAGTAGTCTTCATCTCTTTCAGCATGGGCCCTGGGAAGTTCTAGACGGGCTTTTTGTGTGTGGGCTTTAGGAGAGTCTTCCTTCGTGAACGACACCCATGCATGCCATTCCTCTGCGGTGTACATCGTATTGTGTCACGGGAAACAGTCACCCCAGTTTGGCTTTCGCCTTCTTTAGCTAACTGCAGTGAACTTGCATGGCGATTTTCTTCAAATCTTCTCATCAGAAGATGCTCCCGTCAAGGTGCTAACTTCTGTGGACGGCCTGGACGTCTCTGTGAGACGGTTGTAGTTCCATCTTTCTTAAATTTTTGCTACAGCATTTTGACTGATAAGTACAGCTTTGCTGATCTTCTTCACCTTTCTTATGTAAAGAAATGATTGTCTTTCCCAGGTCTTGTGACTTTTCCGTTCCATGTGGTGCCATCACCGACAGCATGGAATGGGAAATGGTTTCTTTGATAATTAATGCCCTTGTATAGTCAAAATGCCTGTTTAATGAATAATTAGACTCACCTGTGGTTGATATCTTGTTAATTAGAATTTTGTAGTCTAAAATTTAGCTTTGCTCCTAAGACTTTCAATGGGCTGTACTCATGTTTGCAACATGGTCTTGAATGAATTTGTTAGGACATTTACTTTTTTGTGTTAGCAAATTAACAAATGTTTGCAATCAACGGTCCACATTTGTGGGAGTATTTTGTAGTATAATATCCCATAGATAATGTTGATTCTGAAAGGAAACTAAAGGTTTTCTGACAAATCTGTTGGGGTGTACTCATTTATGCTAAGCACTGTATCTTAAATTCCTAGGCAGCCAAAGAAAATGTCTAAATGATCTTCATGTAGGTGTGAAACTACTTCATTATTCCTGTCAAAGTCTGTCAGCTTAACCATTTCAAACCCTCTCCTAGAATCACCCCAGAATTGGTAGTAACCATCCAATACAACCATGAGCCAATCACTAGCACACCTGGTATGACTAATGAATACCTCAGACTTTTTTAACTAACTACATTTGAGTATGTTCTATAGTGTGTGCATATGTTCTAATGTTAAATTGTGATTATTTTTTTATCATGGCCAAATATACATTTACAACCCAGATAAATGACTTTAAACATTTCCTTTGGCTGCCCAAGACGTTTGCGCAGTGCTGTCTAT